TCATTTTGGCAAAAGGGTCAGTAAGCCCAGACCAACTACACATCTAAACTGGACGCATAAGAGTATGTTATTTGAGCTCTCGTACTGGTCAAAGTTAAAATTGAGACACAACCTCGATGTTATGCATATTGAGAAAAATGTGTTTGATACTTTGGTTAGGACAATTCTAGACATTGAAGGAAAAACGAAGGACACGGTCCAAGCTCGCCTTGATTTGGAACGAATGGGCATTAGGTCATCCTTGTGGATGAAGAAAGTTGGTGGTACATTGAAGAAAGGCCATCCTTTTTTTACAGTTAAGCCGAATGGGAAGAAAGAGTTTTTCAACTTTATTTCTTCTGTAAAGTTTCCAAATAGGTATGCTTCCAATATCTCACGTTGCGTGAACGTAAGTGGGTGTAAATTTTTAAACATGAAGAGTCATGACTGTCATGTGATACTCCAACGCCTTCTACCGGTTGGTATTCGACACTTATTACCTCTTGATGTGATGAAACCAATAGTGTTGTTGTCGAGATTTTTTTCATAGTTAATTGCAAGGTGTTTGCGGAAGTCGGATATTAAACAATTGCAGGACGACATTGTGAACGTCTTATGCAAGTTCGAACAGATATTTCCTCTAGCTTTCTTTACAAGTGTGATTCACGTGATGATTCACTTGCCAGATGAGGCATTGCTTGCCAGACCGATCAATTGTCGATGGATGTATCCAATAGAAAGGTACTTAATTAAGCGTCTATATATATAGATATATATATATATATAACAGATTCACGATCAATGAACACTTTGAATAATTTGTATCTACCCTTTTATTTGTGCAGATATCTTGGTGAGTTGAAAAAGTGTGTCCGAAATAAGGCAAAGCCCGAAGGATCACTTGTGGAAGCATGGGTCGCATATGAGTCACTTACTTTTTGTGCAATGTATCTTCAAGATGTTGAGACAGCCTTCAATCGTTCTCAACGCAATAATGACGGTGGTGTCAGAAAAGAGAAACTATCTGTTTTTGCCCAAATTGCGCGACCATTCGGCAATTCTGTAAAAGGCGAATCGTTTACTAAAAATGACATGGAGGTAGCACATTGGTTCATACTCAACAATTGTGACGAGGTTTTGCCATACCTTCAACAGCATGAACAGTTGATGAAGCGAGAACAGCCTTCACATTTATATGCCAAGAAGCACTGTGAATTATTTCCTTCATGGTTTCACGAACATGTAAGTTGTATGTGTTTTGAATTGAGCATATTTTCTAAATTGTTCATGCCCATCTTTGAATTTGGTTACACTAATAGGTTAACTTTTTGTATATGTTATATTAGATGAACAAATTGAAGGAATTGAATTCACCCTCTTACGATGAAGAATTATATAACTTGGCGAGAGGACCGCTTCACGTTGAATTGTTCTCAGGTTATCATGTTAATGGGATCAAGTTCTTAGGAGCACGTGATGACAAGTTGTCTACTCAAAATAGTGGTGTCCACGTCCCGGGTGCTGGCTGATAGGAGCATATTTATGCACCTTAGTTTAGCTTGTCTTGTGCATTTAAAGTGTTTTTCCTTAGTAAAGTAGTCTTTTAAGCTAGTTTTATGTATTTTCAGGATTTAAGGGCAAAGTATGCAAAAGGATGCATTTTGGAGCATTTTGGAGCAAATTAGAGCTTGGAATGGATATCATATGCTTGGAGCCAAGATGATGGACGAAATTATTGCAGCCACCAATCACCCTAGCTGTCACTCACATGCTTTCCCATTTTATAATTCACCCACATGCTCTCCCATCATCATTCCACACCTCCATTGCAGCCACCAACCAACCTAGCTATCACCCACATGCTTTCCCATCATCATTCCTTCTTTAATCCATTCAGCCACATGTTTTCCCATGTGATTATTCAGCCACATCCATGCACTTTTCATGATGGCAGCCACATTCTCTCCCTAGCTGTCATATTCCCTCTTTAATCATTCATCCACCTATAAATAAACCTCCATTGCAGCCACAAACCATGGATTCATTCACCATTCACGCCAGAAATTCATCCCCTCTCTATAACACATCCATACTTCACCATTCTTCATATTTTCTGCCCAAAAATAAGCCTTGAAGTCCCCTACATCCATCCCTATCCTAAACACATCATTCTACACCATCCATAACCCCCAAAACCTATCCTTAGACCTTGTGCCGCAACAAAGAGGAGGAGAAGGGCCTAAACGTTCATACAATTCAAGTTTGAGTTGTTGGAATTTTTAGGTGTTTCTTTTCCTTGATTTCAATGTTTAATTTCAATTCTCTTTGTTTTGTGCGTATGAGGAACTAAACCCCCCCTTGGCTAGGGGGGATTTGAAATACATGTTTATGCTTGCAATATGATTTGATTACTTCCAATTGCGTTTCATAAGTTGTGAATACAATTTACTTATCTATGTGAATTGCATTGATTTGTGTGTGTTGGTTGAGAGTGCACGCTTAATTATCATGCATAAATTGGATGCTAGGATATAAGGAAATTTCACCTAATCGTTATGGAATTATATTCACAAGTAGTAAAGGTTGATGATCTCAATCGCGTTAAGTAAATTCTTGGCATAAGTTTCATGCAATCATAGTAACAAGTGCTTCGTCAACGCTTATGGTTTTCATAGAACTTAATGATTCTTGCTTGTATCTCTATTATGCAATCATGTAGGGGACTTGTGGGGAATGTTTTGGGTTGTCGTATGCAAATATCCAATTCAATAACGTTAGGAAAATCTGAGGGTTAATTAGTGCAATTCACGGTTAATCTGGGGCGTTGAGAATTCATGGTTTATTGAAAAGCAATTAGAAATCGTTTTGTGTGCAAGTGTGACATGTGTGGAGAAGAACCCTCTAGCTAGCATTTCATCCATATTTTCATCAAATTCATCTTTACAATCTGTTTGAATTACATTCTGTGCATTTTATTTAATTTCGTCAAAAACTCAATCCCCCTTTGCTTTAGTGTCCAACTTAGTTAGAAAGTGTCTTAGTTGTGTTTTTAAGTGTTTTGATTCATTTTATTACCCAATTTCGTCCAAAGTAGTCAAAGTGCTCAAAACTGCCCAGAAAGTGTTTTTAAGGCTGTTTTGAGTGTTTTGGGTGCTGTTTGAGTCTTTTGGTTTGTTTTAGTGTTTTAAGTGTTTAGTTTTGCATTCTTTGAGTCTAGTTCAGTGTTTTAAACTTTATTTTACGTTTTTGAGTCAGTTTCCAAGTGATTTTGCAATCCCTCCTAATCTCCGGTTAAGAACGATCCCTACTTATACTTATACTACAATTGTCACAAGAGGGTTTTAATTTGTGTGCGTATAATTCTCACATCACTGGCGATAGTGAAGACATTGATTTTTATGGCAAACTAACTAGTGTAGTACAATTGCTTTACAAAGACAGGTGTTAAGTGATACTGTTTAAGTGTGTTTGGTTTGATACAAACCCACATAACCGAACGAGTGTTAAGCGAGACCATGGTTTACTATCAGTAAACACTACCATATGTTGGTACGATGAAGACCCATACATTGTGGCAACTATGGCGAAACAAATATTCTATCTAGACGACCCTAATGCTGGCAATGGTTGGAAAGTTGTTCAAAAGATTGATCAAATAGGGCTATATGATATTCCAGAACTAGATCATGATGACAACGACGACAACGTCGCTGACCAACAGTTTTCATCTTTGATAGAATTTGGTGAAGAAACACTCCGGGATACTAATGTTGTCCAAGAACCATTTGAAGTAGCTGGAGTTCCCGAAGTTGAAATATCAATGGACCTTGGTGATCTGCCGCGATACAATGCACCGGAAGAGGCAAACGAAGATGATGACGAATGGAAATCCGAAAATGATAGTAGTGAGAATAGCGAGAGTTATTATTGTAGTTCGGATGAGAATTAATATCTAATTGTAAAGGAAAAACCAGGAGGTTAAGGAGAGGCAAAGTCAAATTAAAAAAGGCACGGGAAGAATCTGCTCCCCTCAAATTCTTCTTCTTTATATAGAAATTATATGCTTTGTAGTTTTCTTAGCTGTGATAACACATTAAGTAATTGGTTCATTGGTTTCTTCTGTTTGCAAATAAAGTTTTCGGTCCTACTTCCTTGATAGAAGCAATATACGAGCAAGGAGTGAAAGATGTCGCCTTGTCTTCTTCGATTTTCTGTTTGATACAGAGATTGTAAAAAACATATATTTATGAGCTATGCTTATAGATAAAGTCAGAGGTCCATATTTGAAAAGTTTCATTCGGCAATTTCCTGGGTCTTCAGAAGGTAACTTGTCTTTTGTATCCTACGCACCTCACATACATGTTGTTTAGGAAGAAAATTTATATAGTTAGGCAGATTATGTTGATTTTTTTCACAGAAAGGTTTTGCAGAATGAGGACTTTTATTTAAAGGCTATCTTTAAGATTGCGAATCTTCAATTCGTTCCTAATTGATTATGTGGAGCATTAATTTTTTTTGCTAATTTGCTAACTATTGTTTACTGGGCATGACTAGAAATGGGCTGATGTGTCATCTCAATTTAATATGATAATTTTTCTAATTTCCTACTTCCTTAACAGAAGCAGGATACGAGGAAGGAGTGAAAAATGTCGCCTTGTCTTCTTTGATGGGCATCAATGGTTGTGGCTTATCCTTAGACTCATGTCCTTTCTTTTTCGATCCTCATCTCGCTTTTTAACAATTGATTTATTTTCTTTGGCACTGCAACAACTATTACTCCAGGTATGAAGGAGTGATTAGAGTATCTTTTTGCTTGAAATTTTTATTTTGCTATTTCATTTCGCATCTCTAACACTTGGTATTTTAGGTACAATGTAGCGATCAAGTGTGCAACTATTACTCCAGGTATACACTACTGAACAATTATACATGCATTTGTTTTCTAACTTTAGATCCTGTATTAATATTTTCAGTCATCACCGAGAGATTGACAAAATTCATGATATTGTTGTTATAATTGACAGATGAAGCTTGTATGGAGTTTAACTTGAAGAGTATGTGGAGGAGTCCCAATGGGACCATTAGGAATATTTTGAATGGTTAGTGAACTGTCAACTATACGTTTTCATCTTTTGAACAATATTCTTTTCAAATTACAATGATTGCTTTTTCTACAGGTACTGTTTTCAGAGAACCAATTATTTGCAAAAACATCCCTCGCCTTATCCCAGGTATTATAATGTAATATGGTAATTCTATAGTTTCGTTGGATTAGAACAATGCTTATTGTTTCTGTTTTCAGGCTGGACAAAGCCGATATGCATTGGACAAACGAGCAGTGGGAAGACATACACAATAAGAGGGATAACAGAGAAAGCTGTCATTGATATCTACAATCATATAATCAATGTAAGTTTAATCATCACGAACTAATAACAATTATGAAAGTTATAGTGAAGATTGTTGCTTTGACAAAGATTACAAGTATAACATGGTGTTGTGTTGGATTAAGGATAACCTGAATACAGGACAACTATATAATATGATTCAAAATAATGAAATGTTGCACCCAACTGCCACCACATAAATTCAAATCTAAACTTCTGTTGTAAAATAAAAGGCTAATGTAAATGGACACAGACAGAGGAAACCTATAATGTAGAATTGGCTCTTCTTCTCTGAAATGTATATTGTTTGAGAACTATTGTCAATTAACTTATTTTTGTAATTCAACCTATCTATAAACATCTTTGCGTTTTTGTAATTGTATTTATGAAATTAAAACAATTTTGGACATCTTTGGTTTAAATTTTTATAAATGATCTGTGTTGGCAGTTTAGTTTAATCTTTTGTTATTTTTAATTGTATTATAAAGTTGAAATATGTGCTGGTTATAGATTTTGTGCTATGCCATGTAGTGGTTAAAAAATGGGATAATTTTCATGAATAAAATTTCTGCATTGTAGGTTTTCCCTTTGTTTCTATCAATTTACATTTACTTTCTGTTTTACAAAACAATTTTATACTTTGTTTGATAACGTTGGTTTTCATGGCTTGCAGTTAAGGATTGGTACATAGGAAAGCAGCCAAAGAATCCTGTTGTACAATCATTGGTGGTGCAATTTTTTGCTCTTTTATTAAATTGTCCATTCCTGCCAAATTTTAAACGGTGAGAGTGCAACAATTTTATTTAAAATTTTTTTTCCTTATTTCACACTCCCAATCTCACAATATAATCTTTTTCTCACTCAGTGTGTGTGATTTTGTTGTTTTTTTGTTTTCTTTGTAGAATTTATGTGTGTTACTCTCACTCTTATTTTCAGTCTTGCTCACAATCTCACAATATAATATTTCTCTTGGTCTTACTCTTACTCCGACTATGACTCACAATTTCATACTTGCTCATTACTTTTTTGGGGGTATTAAGTTACTATCAATTTTTGTCAATGTTTATTCATATTAATTGTTCCGTGGCAGAACTGGAGGGTGTGTTCTTTGAAATTTTGCGCGACGTACTAGTGAATGCGTCAAGCAAAGTGTTTTTATTACTTTCGTCACGTAAGATTTCTTGCCATCAACTAGCATAAATATTTTAAATTGACAATCGAATTAGTTCATTGTATTCATATAGGATCAATGAGTGTAGCTGTAAAAAATCACCAAAATCGGAGTTAAAACTATCATTGAATCATGATTTTTTGTTTATAACCATCCAAATATTTTGTTCCGTTACTTAATCTCCGAACGTTTGTTTTTTGTGATTTTTTACGTATACGATCTCGACGCATATACAAACAAGTTTGACGGTTCGATCGTTCAAATTAGTTTCCAACAATCCGTATCCCATCAAAACAATAGATTCACTAACACTTTTGGAATTTATTTATACTTCCATTAAGTATAACATAAGATTTTGTGGTATCCACTAGCGTAAATATTTTAAATTGATGATCGAATTAGTTTATTGTATTCATATAGGATCAAGGAGTGTAGCTGTAAAAAATCACCAAAATCGGAGTTAAAACTACCGTTGAATCATGATTTTTCGTTTTTAACCGTCCAAATATTTTGTCCCGTTACTTGATCTCCAAACGTTTATTTCTTGTGATTTTTTATGTATACGATCTTGACGCATATACAAACAAGCTTGACGGTTCGTTCGTTCAAATTAGTTTCCTACAATCTGTATCCCATCAAAACAATAGATTCACTAACACTTTTGGAATTTATTTATACTTTCATTAAGTATAACATAAGATGTTGTGGTATCCACTAGCGTAAATATTTTAAATTGACGATCGAATTAGTTCATTGTATTCATATAGGATCAAGGAGTGTAGTTGTAAAAAATCACCAAAATCGGAGTTATAACTACCGTTGAATCATGATTTTTCGTTTATAACCGTCCAAATGTTTTGTCCCGTTACTTGATCTCCGAACCTTTATTTTTTGTGATTTTTTACATATACGATCTTGACGTATATACAAACAAGTTTGACGGTTCGATCGTTCAAATTAGTTTCCTACAATCCGTATCCCATCAAAACGATAGATTCACTAACACTTTTGGAATTTATTTATACTTTCATTAAGTATAACATAAGATTTTGTGGTATCCACTAGCGTAAATATTTTAAATTGGGGATCGAATTAGTTCATTGTATTCATATAGGATCAAGGAGTGTAGCTGTAAAAAATCACCAAAATTGGAGTTATAACTACCGTTGATTCATGATTTTTCGTTTATAACCGTCCAAATATTTTGTCCCGTTACTTGATCTCCGAACGTTTATTTTTTGTAATTTTTTACGCATACGATCTCGACGCATATACAAACAAGTTTGATGGTTCGATTGTTCAAATTAGTTTTGTACAATCCATATCCCATCAAGTTCAATGGTATATATATTTATTAAGTATATTTAAATTTATTTATTTTGTATATATAACACTTAAGAAATTGAATGATATATATATATTTATTAAGTAGCTTTAAATTTATTATTGTAGTTCGGGTCAAGTTTTTGTTAGAAAAATATATTATTGTGGATTTTATGTAAAAAATAATTGATTTTGAAAGGAATAAAGTCATTTTATCAATATTTAAAATAATTTTAAAAAAAAAAAAAAAAAAAAAAACCTTGCGCGACTCCTTAATGTAGTCGTCACGCAAAAACAATTTGCGTGACGTCAACTTGAATACCTACGTCACGCAATTTGTTACAATTTTGGCGTGCAATTGTAAAAATAAGACGGTTTTTTTGAAATTTCCAAGTTTGGACATGTGCCCTTTCTTATACCCAAACTCCCGTAGCCTTCCTCATCATCTCACCCTTTCTTATACCTGGACTCCCGTAGCCTTTTTTTTGAAATCCACATCACTGGGTCTTTCTCCCTTCCTCATCATCTCGCCCTCTCTCTCCGTCTTTGTACCGTAGCCTTCCTCATCATCTTTTATATTTTGAACTCAGACCTCTGTTTTGAATCCAGATCTCTCTCCCTCTCGTTCTAAACGACGGGCAGCCACCACCCCTTTGTCATGCTTGTCTCTCTCATTGAAGGTAAGTCTAATTACAAATTATGAAATTGTGAAATTAAGGATTTTGATTGTGAATTGAGATGAATTTTAGAATTTAGGGTTTTAATTTGGGATAAATTACTAAGGCATGTGTTGGATTTCAGGGTTTAAAAATTTGTGAATGGGATTTAGGGTTTTAATTTTGAAATGGGGATTGAATCAGGGTTTTTATTTGGGATAAATTATTACGAAATGGGCTGAATTTTAGGGTTTAAGAATTTCATTTTTGTTGTTTCTTGTTTGCAGTTTGAAGATATTTTGGTATACATTTTCAATTCCTAGCCAACTAGCAGGTATTGACCCAAATTTTCAATTCCCTCATCTGCGTTAAGCAATACGCTGCCTGTAGTCCCTCTTACATCTGAATTCTTTTTGTGTTTTCATATGCTTAAGTTTGAGTTTTTATACGCTTGTTGTCGTTTGGGTTTTTGTTGTTGCTATTGTTCTTGTTCTTGTGTTTCTTACTAGAGTGTTTACTGGGCATGCCTCAGCCAATGCATATTCATCATTGGATTATCTTCTTAGTGGTAAATACTTGAATTCTGGCAACAGTGGTAAAAAAGAAGTTATCTTACTTTCATTGTTTATGTGTCAATTTTAAACCTGTTAGCTGGTAACTATTTTGTTTTAATCTCAATCAACAAATTACTATTAATGCACTGGTATCCATATCTTTGAAATGGTTGTGCATATCCAAATTGGGATCCACCATTTAATTTTGATAAGTTGATTGAAATTAGTACACAGAAAATCATCAACACCGGCTAGCTTCTTACTGGAATCTTTATGATATATGTACCCTTGTGCTCATACAATTATTCATTATTATGAGCTATGCGTATAGATAAAGTCGGAGGTCCAGATTTGAAAAGTTTCATTCGGCAATTTCCTGGGTCTTCAGAAGGTAACTTGTCTTTTGTAACCTACCCACCTCACATACATGTTGTTTAGGAAGAAAATTTATATGGTTAGGCAGATTATGGGTTAGTTCATAGATCTTTGGGCTTCGATTACCAAGAAATAGAAACTTTACAAATAAAACCCGAGGATTGGCATTCGATTGCTGTCATTTTATATGTATATGGTTACAATTATCTACGTTCCCAATGTGCTTATGATGTAGCACCAGGCGGACTATTAGCTAGTGTCTATCATCTTACAAGAATAGAGTATGGTATAGATTAACCGGAAGAGGTATGCATAAAAGTATTTGCCTCAAGGAGGAATCCTAGAATTCCATACTATATTGATTTTTTTCACAGAAAGGTTTTGCAAAATGAAGACTTTTATTTAAAGGCTATCTTTAAGATTGCGTATTCTTCGTTCCTAATTGATTTTGTGGAACATTAAATTTTTTTGCTAATTTGCTAACTATTGTTTATTGGGCAAGATTAGAAATGGGCTGTTGTGTCATCCTAATTTAATATGATAATCTTGATAATTGAACATGTAATTCTTTATTTTGTTTTCCCCAGGCTCCTGATCCTTGAAATTACTTTCGGAGAGGATTAATCTTTTTTATTTTCACATTTCATAATATCAGATAATCTTTACAATGTCTGCTTACTAGTGCGTTTACTAGTGTTCACCATGTTATAGTTGATACTGATATAATGAAGTTTTCGTACCATTGATTGATTACAATGTCTGCTTACTAGAGTGTTTACTGGGCATCCTGAGATAATCTTTACAATTTATCACATATTCCTAGTGTTGGATTACCCATTCTTTTTTGTTTCACTTGATGCAATTTG